CCGGTTTCCAACCAGGAAATAAAACTGAAAGGACAAACCCAGCCCCAAAGTACACGACCACATGCAGAGGGACAAGGGCAACTGCGCCCCGGGTTCTGCCCCACTCCCACGGGGGCTGCCCCACCGGCAAGATTGGGCAGACACAAGAAGGCCCAGAAACAGGGTGGGCTGGCTTCCTAGGCGGGGCCCTCAAGGTCACGCAAGGGCTCAAGGACACTTTGGGCCTCAGCCTCCAGATCGACAGAGGTACCCACGGCAGCACCTGGGTTGCAGAGAGGCAGGGAACAAGCCCACTCACACGTGCCGAAGGGGCTTGGGGTGGTGAGGGGCTAAGGTAGTATCCCTCCCCCCAGCACAGGACTCACAGAGGAATCCCAACCCTGGGGCCAGCCGCCCACCCCTGCAGCTGGTCGGGCAGGCGGGCGGGCTCCTCATGCACCTGGCCACCTGCACTGGAGTCTGCGAAAGGACCCCACTGGGCCAGGAATGGCCATCACTGCCTCCGCTGTCGTGCCTGGAGGCCGAGCGGAAGGTGGGACGGGAAAGGAAGCCAGTCCCTTTGGGGACCCACCCTGTCTCTATAGCTCCCTGGTAGCCTAGGCTGACCTTTGGGACGGGGACACACTACCCTAAAGGAGGCTGAGGGCAAAAAGAGAGATGGGCTTAGCTGGAAGATGCCTGGGGGGCCAGGCCGCTGCATGGAGGGGCCATCAGCCCATTGCAGATGACAGTGACGCCAGGACCGAAGGGAGAGGGTTATCGTAACCAAGCTAGGCCCAGTCCCTCCTCTTGTCCCCACACCCAGCCACATCCAGCCTGTCCTATCAGCCCCCTGGTCAGAACATGAAGACCAGCCACCTGGCAGTGGAGCCGGTCCCCCAACCGAAGCACAGCCGAGAACCCCACCACCCTCTTCCCAAGGAGACCACTTGCCCTACCAAGGTAAATAAAGGCACCGCAAACCAGGGAAGTTAGAAAAGTCTCTTTTAAGTTTTAAATTAAAATTTCACCCTGGTGAGATG